CTTCCTCAACGCTCTTCTTCCCATACGCCCCCATCGATTCCCATCCATGTATCCATCCATACACACATCCATCCATCCAGGCAGACAGGCAGTCAGGCAGTCAGACAGGCAGACAGTCACTCGCACGCACCCATCGACAGACACGCAACACATCCATCGAGATACACATGGGCACGAGCAGGACAAACGCTTTGTGCTCACATACACGGTGGACACGCCCGTCGGCTGCACACATACGCGGAGGCGGTGGTCACGGGGATGCGGGGACACCCGCATACAGGTCGGTTGTGTGTGCGGCTGACGGTCGGTACACCTCCATTCATTCCATGTATGCATCCTCCTGTCTGTCTGCTCTTCCTTCCGGTCCGTACACACCTTGTCGGAGGGATAGACGGGACTCGCGACACAGATCCACATATACAAACACGATGCGAGGTGTCCACTTCGCATCAGAGTGTCAGAATCAGGGACATCAGACGATATTTTTGTTTTCGAATGAATATGGACGTGTGACGTGTGGATGGCCTCGACTTTGTGCTACGTAGCTGGGATATGGATATATACGTATGTGCGTGCTATACTGATACGGCGCACGCGGGCAAAGGGGTGAGACAACGATGGCTTGTCAATATAGGCCTGAAAAAACACATGACGCGGACTTTTTGACTGAATTTGTCTTGCATTTTACTGTCAGATGGCAATCCAGCCATGAAAAACAAAGCAAAACACAAACCGACTGCACATCACATATGCTACACATACTGGCTGGCTTAGACTCTGGATTAGTCCATCCATCCATACGCCGACGTTAGCTCTCGGACAGGAAGAATACATCCACACGAACGCGCGGCGGCGCGCTGTCTAATTCAACACATGCGCCACACAACCAACACGATTGATACTATGTATCGTGGGCCCTCTGCTCCTCCAGCCGGGCCAACGTGTCTGGAAACGCACACGGCGCGAACAGCGGATGCTCCCCAATGTCACCCACCATGCCTGAACACATGGGTACACGCGGTTCTACTCGTATCTGTTGATTTCACGTGTCCGTCATTTGGTATGTCTCACCGCTCCCGCTTGTCCTCTGTATGAAATCGATCTTTATCTCGTCAGTGAGACACTGCCGTGTCATGGCGCGCAGTGTGCTTCTGGCCGTGGTGCTCCCAGGCGCATTCCAAAGAGCCTTGCGGCTGTAGTAGTCTTGGAGCCGAAGCCTCTCCCTCACCGCCGCAGGATCATCGTAGACCTCTTGCAGTATGGGAGTGAGGGATTCGCGAGGGGACCGAACGAACTCAGGGCCGTCAATTGCATACGTGAAGTTCCTGTTCGGATACATTCATACACAACAGGCATTGGCACTCGATAAGTGTGCATGAAGGCTGCTTTCTTTCTCCTATCTTTCTTCCTCACCCACTTACCCACTCACTCACCTCCACGGAATCTCGCATTGGAAAGGCATCGCGCTCCTGTAGAATTCCTTTATTTCGGTGACCAGCACGTTCAGTGTCCGCGCCCACAGCCCATCGGTGTACCGATTGCTTGTAAGGTCATCGCCCCGAAAGCAGAGATTCAGCTTCGAGTTGCTCAGCCGATGCAGAAATGTGGCCGCCGCATAGCGGCCACGATCTGTTCGCTTGTCACTCTGCTGACCAGCCCCTTTTTCTTTCTCCGGAGCCATCTGCCCATTGCACCGCTCAAATTTGCCCATCTTTCCGCTGAAGACCTCCTTATTGATGCCGTCTTTGCGCGGGCAGGAAGGAATTGGCTCCCTTCGCTCCTTGCCGTCTGCGTCCAGCACTTGATAGGTCATGGGCTTGGACGAGGAGACCAGGACGTTGGAGCTTGTGTTGGGCCTGAATCGCCAGCCAGCGAGGTGCTGCATTCCCAGACGGCGGTAGCGATATCCCTTGCGAGCGTCCACTTGCCCTGCACCCATCAATGGATCACGCAACACGAGACCACATGCAAGAAAAGGGACGAGCTGTATGCGTCAATCCACCCCCCACTGCTCGCTCACCCTGAAAGAAAAGGTTGTAGTGTCTCGCGAACCAGTCGCGTCGCGAGAGCGGGTCGAATGCGGTGTCCAGACGGTCGTCCTCGAAGACGTCTTCAGGGGCAATGAAGCCGCGCTTCAGCAGGCTCTCCTTGGTAAAGGGCTCGTAGGCCTTCTGCACGTGGGTCATGGCAGAACTATACAGACACAAAGGCCCATCGATTCAGCCACCCATGCCATGTGTGTGCTTAGTTGCCCCTCTCTTCACTCACGTGAACGGCACTGTGACACTGCATCGCCACGGCTTCCTCCCTGAAAAATATTAGGCCGTTTATGGCGCACACCGAATTGATTCATTCTCGTTCACCTTCAAATGCCTTGAATCGGCCCCACGTGATGTTCCCCACGAAGTCCTGAAATGCCGATCCAAAAACCGTCTTCACAGTTCCATGGCGCGATCCACGAAGGCGCCAGTCCGTCCCCTGCAGAGCGCGGCAGAAGTTGTGCGAGCGAGCTTCTCCATGCCCCTCCCTGCTTACGATGACGACATGATCCAACCCGCCATGCCGATGAAAGTAGGGCATTGCCGTGATCTGAATGAATCATGGGACAACAGAGTCGAGGAGGAAACTATTCGCGAAATGTGTGCCCATTTGCTTACCTCATGAACGGCGCGAGTGGCCAGTTCGTGAGTTTCCTTTCCACTGACACCCTCGCATGCCCCCTCGAACAGAAGCGCTGCAACACACAGATGCATTGAAGAGGCCCCTCAATTGCTTCTCTGCCCAACACCCATGCACCTGGATAGATGGGGAGGACATAGACGAGCGCCTGGTCAGGATCGAATGTGCGCCACGTGTCGTTCCACAGCTGATCCAGCCAGAAGATCTCCCCTGTGTTATCACACACACACGACAGATTGATGTGAAGCGCACCGGCGATCAGTCCTACCTATCTTCTTCTTGATTGCAGACGGCACATGGGCCGGCCACGCCCCTTCGAGGATTGCCCTTGCTGGCTCCTGGCAACGGTTGTACATTTCCATCAGCGCGGGAGTCTCGTAGACCTGCAATTACAAAGGCTTCGACGAGAGGAGCGATGCAATCCCCCCCCTTACTTACGTAAAACGGGACATCCATCTTGCTCTCCAGCGCTTCAAGATCAGCGAAGTCCTCTCTCTCCTCCCGCTCTCCTGCTGCTGGGGTATTGTTCGTCTTGCCTCCGCTTCTTACGCTCCGAAGGAGTTTGTGCAGGGACGCTGAAACCGCTGTCTTGTGTAGGGACGCTGGATAGAGGTGAAGGGCGTCCAGAGCGAAGAGGCCGACGCCAAAAACGGCGAGAGGAATGAGGATGAATGGCCGCGTCAGAACAGTCATTTCGTTGATGAGCTGGCGAAGTTCTGGCAGCCTAAGCACGCCTTCGGTCTGTCGCTCAGAAAGAGTCTGAGTCGAGCGGCAGAACGAACGGTTTATAGGGAAAATCCGCCGTTTTTGTAAACTCCGTGCACCGTTGCGCGGAATTTTTTCCGGTCGTTTCCTTGACGACGGTGTCGTGAAGCAATCAGCCCTTCGAGCGATGCGCTTTCGCTTCTCTGCGCCGTGTGCGCTCGCTGTGCTGGTGGTTGCCCCACTCTACTTCTTATGTTTTTTCCTGATCAAGCGACAGTGCGGTCCGCTCCCCCTGATGCTGACTACTATGGGCGTGATGCTGGATGGCGACAAGCACGCCGCCTCGAGAACGGCGCATCTTGAGGTGTTCAGCAGCTCGGTTGACTCATCAACGCCTCGTGCTGCCATGAGAGGAAGGCAAGAGCGTGCCCCTCACCTCACCGCCCGTCACGTCCTCAGTGAGTCTGATTCGCCCTTCCTCTTCCCCTCCCATCACTGGGTGCCCGGCCTGCGGTGGGTATTTGTCATCACTCCCACGTACAGGCGAATCACGCAGCGGCTGGATCTGACGCGGCTGTTCAACACATTCGGTCTCGCAGCCAGTAACGTGCACATGATTGTTGTCGAGGACAGCGTCAACAGGACGGCCAAAGTCGAGAGGTGGCTGAATGACAGCCTCCTATTGCATTGGTCTCACTTGAACGTCAGTAGCTCATCTGGATTGAGAACCAGGGGGGCAGAGCAGAGGAACGAGGCCATTCGGCTGATACGGGACATTGTGCTAAATGAGGCCGATGCGGAGCTGAAGAGAGCATATGAGGTGCACAAACACCAATGAACACAGCAGACAATCGGGGGATTGTCTCATTTCTGTTGCAGGATTCCGTTGTGTATTTTGCTGATGACGACAATGCATATGATATTCGCATTCTCCATGAGCTGCGGAAGGTCCGCAACATCGGCACCTGGCCCGTGGGCCTGGCGGGGGCACGCAGAGTAGCTCAGTACTGTGACGTCAACTCGACCACCGGCAAAATCAAGAAGTACAACGCATGGGGGGTGAGCGAACGAGCAATCTGCAACACGAAGGGCGGATGGATTCGACCAATGCTCATGTCGTTGCCTTTCTGTGTGGATCTGTATGTATCTGTATAGACGGGTCGTGCGTATCCGATTGACACAGCAGGCTTTGGCCTGCACGTGAGGCACTTTCTGCAGGACCCCCCACTGCTGTGGAAAATCCGGAGTAAGAAAGGCCGTCTGGAAAGCGATTTCCTCGAGCAGACGAATGTCAGCAAGTGGGACATAGAACCACTCGCAGACAACTGCACAAAGGTATATGCGCGATGAGCAAGCCAAATTGTGCTGTGCGCAGATGGTTCCTGTGTGTCGTTCAGATCTATACATGGCACGTGAAGACTGACATAAGGTGGGGCGACAAGGAGCCCCCAGAAGACTTCGATAAGAAATTCGACGTCTAGTAGCGATACGAGCATTTGTCTCATGTTGCATTTTCTCGTGATGTTTTGACACTCATACATTCTGTCTGCGTGCTTTTCATGCATATCAGATGTAATTGGCACGGTCTGACTGCCTACAGTGGCCTAGATAGGCGGAGGCAAACGGTGCGTGGATGTGTGATGGCCTTTGTGGACGTCCCCATCCGTAGAGCGATGCTTGTGTCCTCGTGTCAGCTGGCCCTTGTGACTGATCGCAAAGCATGCGAAGTGTGCATGTGTACATACGAGTGTGCATATGTGGTTGGTCAGACAGGCGGTCGACCAGTCACTTCTTTGTCACATCGACCTCGTGACATACACACGTGTTTTTTACTCCCAGGCATGTGTTTTTGAATCAGTTTCTCTTCTCCTCTGTGGTGTCATACGCGCTCTCATGGTGGGCTGCTCAGCTATCGGGCGACTGGTTTGGGAATCCATGTTTTTGCTTTCATGTCTCTCTCTCGTGTCGACATGTGCTGTTTTGCTGTCTGTTTGATTGTCGCGTCGTGTGTGCAATGTGCAATGTGCAATGTCGAAAGGTGCCATCTTGTCGATAGGGATGCTGAATGATACATCGAGCTGCTGCATTCGTATCGTGCGAGTTTTTCCGCACGATTCGTGTAGAGGACGCTCATTGCGCACGTGAATGGGAATTCATTGTGAGTGAACCACTGCGAGAATGAATCTATCTTCAACATGGAAGAAGCTCGCAGCGCAGTCACTCAATCAATTGTCGTGTTCTCGGGCAAAGAAATCCATGACGTCTGTCTTTTCTCCGAACCAAAGGCTGGAAGCCGACAAAGGAACCACCAAAAACCACCAGACAAAGCAGCAGCAATGCATACACGGCTTGGTTCCATGTGCCAACGGTCTCAGGCGGAACGATGAGTGACTTTTCTCTATCTCTTGATATGTCTCTTTGATCGATCGATCTGGCATCACCCGTCCACAATTGGTATGAGACCGCTGAAAGTTTGAAGGGGAACAGTTTCGGTAGCCATGTGCAGTCACATCATGCGGCGTTCTTAATTGTATGAGTGCAGTGCTCTCATGTCCCGTGTATCCCCATGGTGTCTCAAAATGTATTGTCTCTGTGTCTCAGCCCACCCGGCTCCCCGCCCAATGTGCTCCCATCCATCCATCTTTCCGTCCCACATGCATACGCCAGAAAACAGCATGGGCATCCATCCACAGGCACTGATTGATTGAATTGGCCCCCCGTGCCGTGTATGCACGTCGTGAGAGAGAGACGTCTGTCGGCTTGCAGCAAATGCAAGTGCTCTGTTTGGCAGCACATAGAAGCACCGACTCATCACGTCACACGCACACAGCCGCCTGACTGACTGACTGTCTAACTGACTTATCGCCTGCACACGCACGCCATTCGTCGACAGAAACATCCCTCACAATCATCGAGCTCGAGTGCGTCTGGAAACACACGTACACCACACATCCATGGCGAACAATACACGTGTGTCTCTGAAAGAGCGAGTGACGTCCATGTTGATCACTTCGCTTTTTTTTCCGTTTGTCCGTTTTTCTGTCCATCGGCCATCGTGCGTGTAGGTTGGTGGTGCTGGCAGATAGCGCGATCAGTGACACAATGTTGCTGATAGTGCGTTGAGCCCTCACAAGAGTGTCATGATATTGCGTTTGCAATGGGCTGTGATCGTGCCGATGTATACGTAAGCTGCATGCTGAGTAATGTAGCTACGCAGTGTTACGAGTATGAGTAGTGTAGATACGCATGGACACGTACGTATACGGATATACATTCAGGTATATCATATGTATTGTCTCCTGTCAATCATGTATGGGTGATGTGACATCGATGAGGCCCGTCTTTTCGTGGCCAGCCAGTCCAGGATCACGGCCACTTCTCACGCAAAGCAACCCACTGGTGCCTGCACTTGATCCAGTGATTCACTGAATGGATTACATGAATCATCCATGATCTTGATCCGTCATTGATATCATGACATGCACTCGCCCACCCCGTGTAATGTAGAATGGCTGTGCATTTTGCTTGACGAACTACAACCGAACGATGTGTGTCTTCCTGACGGCCAGCGATGCCCATTCATCAGTCCTGTTCCTTTGCCGTTGTTCGTCGCCACAATGCAACCGGGCCTGACGTTTTCCTGTTCGCTTCCAAGCTATTCACCTTGACACACTGAAGCAAGGCGAGTCAGTGAGGTTGGTTGGGAGCGTGCTTGAGATCGGAAGAGCCACCTCGAGATCTGCTGGAGCATACGCAGCGTGACGGCAAATGACGTCTTGACGTGTCTGTCAGGATTGCCAGCTTGGCAAGACGAACCACTGCGAGCTTGTGAGCTAGGGTATATTGCTGTGTAACGGGTGGAGAGA